GAATGAACTTCACACTAGTATAGGTGAAAATGTATTTCTATAAGGGTTGAATGAGTAGTAAAGTATAACAAGGACCACTAGCTTCTGACTTCATCACTGCAATGCATTTTAAAGAATTTTAAGAGTAAAAACTGTGTTGTACAGTGAGACTTCTGGAACTCTTTTACAGAAACTGTCACTCTATTTCCTTGTGCTACTTGGTGTGTGGGGCTGTGCGTAACAAGATTTTGGATTCACATCTTAGTCATGTGAAAGACTTTAAATATATGGGTTTAATTTTCAAAGAAGAGAGGTAATGAGTTTGGGATGTGTTTATATCCTTAGCTTGACTCCTTGAAACTTCAATTACTTTTAAAGAAATCAAATAGATGGGCTATTTTAATCTATCAATTTAGATTTCTTATGGGAAAAATAAGAAGCATATATATGAAAGAAGGGAGGACAGAGAAGTATTGGGTTGAGAAAAGCTGAGGGAAGACAGCAAGAGCTCAATTTGATTTGTTCTGACTTTATGAAATGTAGATTTTAAAAGCATTTGGGGTTTATTTTGCCATATTAAAAGTCAGTTATATCTGACCTCTATATTTCAAGACTTCTAGTATTGTTAGGAAAATGAAGACAATTTTCTCTTGCTGTTAGTTTTATGCATCTTTCTGATGTTGATATCTTTTTAATTTGAGATACCAAATACTAAAATAAAATTTTATGTTAAGTTCTCCTCTTCTCTTCATTACATTTGCAAAGAAAATGAAAAATTTTTTTACATTATTTTGTGCCTGCTCTGCCATACTCTGCTTCACAGATACACATGGTGTGACTCTTACTCAATATTGTGTTTAGTAAAGCCTGTGAGAAAATATTTTCCTACAAAGTCAGAAAACAATTTTCAACTGTAAACTTGCTTTTTTTTCCATCGTTTATATTCTTTCATACAAGGCTTTAAAGGAATTTTCACATATGCCCAAGGCTTCTGACATTAAACGTTGTCTGAGCTTTAAGAAACCTACCAAGTGGTCTCTGAAAAGATGCAATATATGGCAATATTATGGAGAGCTTGTAACTGCAGCAACAGCAGACATATATGATCCTATTGACATGTTTCTTCATTACTCTATGCTCACAGCACGGCAGATTTAAGCTTTGTTCTTTTTATGCCTTCAGCCATGGAAAACAATCAAAGTTCTGGCTCTTTCAGGAAGAATTTGTGTAACTCAAGATTTGGATAAACCCTTCCCCCAAAGTCATCATGTCAGGGAAGAATCACGGATTGTAAACTCACTGCAGCTTTCTTGTGTGGTCCTCACTCAGTGTTGTAGGACTCTTGCTTAGGACTTTCTGTTCAGGGAGTAGCAGGAATCAGGGAGGTATTAGTTACCTGTCTTCGTAGTTGCTTTGCAGTGTGCAAATGAGGAGACTTGGCTCTGACTCTGCCCGAGTCAGAACTTGCAGTTTCAAGTTGCAGGCCACTATTATCGAAGAAGGAGCAGTCGTCTCATGTTGTGTTAGTGAAGGAGCACACCCTGTTTTGTGGGCTGTGTCAATAGGTTTGGCATAATAAGCCCATGCTCCCACTGACATTACAGCCATTCAAGGACAGGGGTGTACACAGGACCTAGTTATATCTAGACATTCCAGCACCAATTAGAGCCAGCTCCTGAGGGTGCACCTCCTAGTTCCTGAGCTAGGTAGGGGAGGGAGGGAGGAAAATTCCCCCTCCTTCCCCATAAAGTTCTCCCCTTTAGCCACTAAAGTTCCACTAAAGCTGCCAGATGATGATGAACAGTCTGCTGCCAAGGAACATTATAGAGGGCTGTGTTGCAACAGGCAGGCACAAATCACTCACTAAGGTCAGTGATGACAGTGCTTGCCTTCTTAGTGGTGCATCCACTTTCACTCACTCTTTTCATAAACACAGAAGAATCAGATTAGAGCTTGGTTTTTAATAGCTGACAATTTTCCCCCTTGCCTTTTTTCTCATTTCCCAGTCTACCCCAATAGTGACACAAAACTCAATCTGGGTCTGTCTCTTATTACCAGAAATGCTGATTTCAGAGGAGAGATTCAGATCAGCAAAATATCCCATTCCAGGAAAATGTCTTCAGCTCTGGGATGTGATGCATAAGTGTCTTTATTGCTCAGCGACAGGAAAAGTAGATTTTACTCTGACATTTCTATTCAGTGCCATGGCCAGCTGGAAAATGTTAGGGTCACATGTAGGTTCTTCTGTCTTCCTTTTTGGAAGATGAAATGTGGTTCTTGTGGGGTAAAAAATAGGCAATGAAATTGCTGCCTTCTCGTCACAGCAGCCTGCTGCAGCTGTGCTGTGAAAGTCATGGGTTATGGCTTCTAATGCTGCATCTCAGGCTTGCTCTCTATCATGGGCTGTAAGCATCTAAACCCTTCAAATTCCCTGGGAGCCACAAAAGTCAAACAGCATGTGCAATTCAGGGATTGTGCTCTTGTTGTTCAAAAGGTAGGGGTGTTGCCACTGCTGCAGAATCTGGCGTGGAAACAGCATTGAGATCCTCTAATGTTTCCAGTAACTGTGAGTGTTTTCTTTCATTACACTTCTGAACAGAAAATATCACATAGAAAGAAGGAAATGGGTTTCCTAACTTGCTTTTTAAATTTTCTGAGTGAGAAATAATGAAGGTTTTGAAGAAGAGCTTTATTTTGGTGATGACTTTCAATGGCATAAGTCTAGACAGCATAACTAACCCTCTCCTTGGGTTCGTGTTGAATTACTAGGTTTTTACCAGGCTCTTTGGTACTCTTTGCCTCTGATAGGTAGTCAGCCCAGACTTTCCTTCTTTCTTTGCTTGCAGGATCAGAGAAAGCTTTTTCCCTAATTTAGTCTGCTTTCCAAACATCTCCCTGCACATGGAGCTAGTGCTGGGTGAAGAGATGGAGAAGAATGGGGGAGAAATAGATGCATTTAGGGACAAATCTCAAATTTGAAATTATTCCAAAGTTTTATTCTGGCCCATAGGAAGAAGCAGGTGAGAAAACTGATTCTGAAGGAGGATTAATTTTGCACAGAAACCTAGAGGTCTCTGCAAAAATTCTCTATTTCTTGGGAACAGCTCAGAATGGGTATTGAACATTAAAGAGCATTAAAAGTGACTAATTTCCTTGCAGGAAGAGGATAGGGAGTGATAAAAGTCTACATTAAGTAGAAATGAAAATGTAGACAAAATTTATTAAAGAAGACAGACAGACACAGTAACCACATTGTTTATGCTTGGATAAGTTCTGTTTTTACATAACTCGATATCTGAAAAAGTTTATCTGCATAAAGGCAATTCCTTCTTTCTTCCCTCTTTCCTAATTGCTGGGATCTGGAGCATGCTTTGAAAAACATGTAACTATGCTTTCTCTGATTTTACTTTCTTTCCTAGCTGTGTCGACCAGACAAATGTCTACCCTGCGTTGGTAGGACCATTACTGCAGTAGAATACAAATATCAGACACTTCCACAGTTTAGACCTTTTTCTTCATAAAGACAGACCAACAAAAGTGAAAATTCATGAAAATGTGACTGAACTAAAGCATCATGAGTAGTCTTAATGTTATTCAAGCACAACTTTTTGAAAGCACAGAAGAATCCAATGTATCATTTATTGTTGGCTTTCCCAGAGTACTTCAGCACTGAAGAACTTAAAATAGATTTTTTTTATCTCAAAAAAGAATAATCATGTTTACTGTAAACAGGGGAGATAAAAATTTTTGTCAGAAATGTTTAATTCTATTCTCCTGAGAATGCATAAGTGGGTAAGTTGAACAATCGCTTTCTGGAGCTTGATGGTGGACATTGCATAGCATGTTATGCAACATAAATGATGCATAATTTCTCTAGCTTGGAAGAATACTTGACTGCAGTTCTGCCTAAATTCATCTCCCTGGATTTTGAAACAAAAGGCAGAGAAGAAATGTCATGACAGCTCACAGGAAGACACCTTAGGATGTAATGAGCCTTTTTCAGTCATTTACCAGCAGCCAGTATTAATCAAGGGAGTCCCAGCTGACTGGAAGTTAGTAAATGTTAGCAAATGTAATGTCCATCTACAAGGAGGGCCACAAGGAGGATCTGGGGAACTATAGGCCTTGGTGCCAAGGAAGGTCATGGAGCAGACCTCTTGACGGCCATCATGTGGCATGTTCAGGATAACCAGAGGATCAGGCCCAGTTTCATCACCAAAAGAGTTGTCCAACATTAAGTTATTACAGGCTATCCAGGGAAGTGTTGGAGTCACCAACTCTGGAGGGATTTAAAAGTGTGTAGGTGTGGCATTTAGGAACACGGGTTAGTAGTGGACTTGGCGGTTTACAGCTGGACTCGATAACTTTAGAGGTCTCTTCCAACCTAAACAATTCTATGATTCTATAAAGGTGTGGGATTTCTTTGTTAGCTCAAAGCAAGGAATTTCTTTATCAAAAAATTAATCTGTGTCTATCACAGAGAACGAATTGTGAGGGCGGTCTGATCCTGAAGCACAACCAGCTTTAACCAGTTTCTGTACTGCTTCTGATGAATGGATTTAACAGTTCTTTGGAGCATATTTTCAATACTCAAGTTGTAGACCTTACAGATTTCAAGGGAAGAGCAATCTTAGCTTCAAGGAAAGAGAATGAACTTTGAATGAATGGCAGATGAATTCCTCCTATGCCTGTTGCCAAATGTAGAACTTTGCTGTGCATAAAAATCCTTGAAGTGTGACGTCTCATAGCATCTGGGTCCCTGTGCTGCCTGCTAGGGCCCTTCTGGGGCCCTCAGGAGTGTGGTGAAAATCTGCTAGCTAGAGGACGAGATAGGAACACCAAGCAAGTACTACAAAGTCCTACCTTCATTTGAGTAGATGCTGCTATCACTGGGAGCAGGAGGTACTGCTCTTTACTTTGCTGGCTCTCCTGTGCTGCCAGAGCCATAACTAGATCTTCAGACTGCCATTGACTTGCTTGTTTGCCTCTGAACCTTACAGCAAATACTACACAAGTTGTGCTGGAGCAGGCAGCTACAGGTTGAATCCACAGGCACCTGTTATGTGGCAGTTCTCATGCCTCTTCCCCCTTTGCCTTCTACCTTTTGCAGAGCTGGCAGATGAAGTTTCCACAGCAGAAGGTCCCTGTGTACAACCCTGTTTGGGCAATACAGAGGCTGCACCAATGCTGCCTTTGGAGTTTTGGCTCTCAGGGCTCTTGACAAGACCAGCAAACCTCTGTGCTCAGTGAGGGGCTGCATCACAAGACTGTAACCTGCCCCAAGACACCCTGTTGGGGACTTCCAGCCACCAGGGAACCACTGCACCCTGTGACACCCTGTACAATGGACCCTGCAGAACACTGAAGCTTCCAAATATTTATTGATGTGGACTCGATTCAGGTGCAATGACATAGTTGCAATGTACTGTTCTGGGTTTGGCTGGGATAGAGATGATTTTGTCCACAGTGTTGGTATGATGGTTTGGTTTGGATTTGTGCTAGAAACAGTGCTGGTAACACAGAAGTGTTTTTGTTATTGCTGAGCAGGGCTTACACGAAGGCAAGGCCTTTTCTTCTTCTCATCCCACCCAACCAGTGAGTGGGTTGGAGGTGCACAAGGAGTTGACAACCATGTCATGGCACCCATACTACATGGAATTACACTCTGTAGATAAAGCTGGGAAAGAAGTAGGAAAACAGTACATGTTGGAATCACAGCATTTGTCTTCCCAAGTCACTGCTACATGTGATGGAGCCCTGGTCTCCTGGGGGTGGAAAAATACTTGCCTGTCCATGGAGAGTGATGAATTAATTTCTTGTTTTGCCCTGCTTCCATGCATGCAGATTTTGCTTTACCTACTAAACTATCTTGATCTTGGTCCACTAATTTTCCCACTTCACTCTTCTGATTCTCTCCCCCACCAGCAGGATGGAGCAGTGAGTGAGTGGCTGCGTGGTGCTTAGTTGACAGCTGGGGTTAAAACATGATATGCACAAAGCTTAAAAATATACCTGCTGAGTGGCTATGTAGATGTGTTCTGCATCCTTGTGGGAGTATGTGGTTTTCTCCTTAATGAGCTTGGCAAGGATTTCTGGAGTTGAAGGAAGGCAGAGGATAGGATGAGTTTGCCCTCTTTTGTACCATGTGGCACACTTTCCTCTTAAGCTAATTTATTTAGCGAATTATTTGTAATTGTGGCGACCTGTGACACTTTTTAACAAAAACAGAATTATGTATCCTTGTGGCACATTACAGTAGACACTTAAAAGCCACAATATAATGAGCCTTGTATTTGCCAGGAGGTGGTGGGTAGTGCAGTGTGGGCTATGGTAACATGTAGGGAAGATGTTTTTATGGCAGTTCTGGAAAAAATCGTTGTACTTTGCTTTCCTCTGTGGGTAACTGGGCTTGGTGACTCAGGTGATATTTTCAAGCACTAACCTGTTTTTGAAGCACTAACCTGCTTTTGACAGAAGATGGTAGGTTAGATCCTGCAGACTTCAAAATTCATTTGATTTCCAATAACTCCTTCCAACCAGTCTGGGCTTTTCATATTGCCCTTGATAAAACCTGAAAATGTTTTAGGTTAGGTACCATACAGCTAAGGAATTTTGCAGGTTTCTGCTTTCAAATAAAATACCCCTAATAAATGAGAGTACTTCCCACGTACAGTGTGGCTTTTCAAAGGTCCCTAAAAGATTAAGGAATATGTCAGGGGGTGAGTGCAGTGCCATTTTTCTTCCTCTCTGTGCATTACAGCAAGTGGTGGGTTTATCAGTTGTTTCACATGTTTTGATAGAGACAATGCAAACAAGTGTTTCTAAATCTGTGCTCTCAGTAGTTTTCCTGCTCTTCCTTCACTTGCAAGCAATCTTTTCTTACTGGTTGTTGTTTTTCTCTGTGCTATTATGCCCTGTTTGTCTCTTTTTTTTTTTTTTTTTTAGTCACGTTATCTGTCCCAAGAAATTGTAGCTTTCTAACACATAAAACAGGAGTATTTCCAGGATATGTAAAGCTATACTCTTGAACTTGTGACATTTAAAGGGCAATAGAATGCTAATGTGACTAATAAAACAGGAAAAATGGCTTTATATAAGTCATTGTGAAAATGGCTCAACCTACCTTTTAAATGGACTAATTTAAACAACATTCATTCATAGGGGCATTGGAGGGAGGCTGGAGAGCTTGGGCAATACAGATAGAACTATAAAAACAAAGCAAGCCCTTGTTATTCTATTTTGAAACCTTTAAAAAAGATCGAGCCAAGTTTTCCTGTGATAGGGACTCCTTACCATTTTTTTTCTGCAGATTATAATTCACAAGAGTAATTGACTGCATGGTTTTGTTTTGTTTCCATTCTGCTGTGAAAAATGTTTTAACCTAAAAGCAATTTTTTTTTTTTTACATTGATTTTTTTGATTTTTCTTTGAATTTGTACAGTAAAATTCCACATTTGATAGTTCAGTATTTCTAGCTAATGCTGTGAGGCCTATGTGAACATTAACTATACTGGCAGGTCAAATCCCTTCTGAACAATACTGAGACTATACTGATTTTAAATGTATAACGTGCGGTTGCTAAGTCATGAAATTATGTATATGGATTGAAAATTAAGGAAAGCACCCATAAGTTTTACCTTTTTGACCTATCCTTTCTACTCTGATCTAGGTTTCTCTGTCCACATGGAAAAACATTAAGATTTTCAGATTATTACAATAGTCAAAAGGCCTCAAATAACAAGAACAATTTGTGATTATGACCCACAGTAATTCTAAGGTATGTTATTTTTCTGAATACACTTGGTTTATTTGATTACAGGTATACATATGTGGGAAATTTCTGGGTTGAAGGTTGGGAGTGTCTCATGTATGTGTGCTAAATCTTTCTACTTGCAATAAGAGAATTATAGGTATTTTTTCTGTTTCTTTAACAACAACAACAAACAACAAACCCCAATTACTCAGAGAGTAAAAAGATACAGATCTTATATGACAGCTTAAAAGTACCCTTGACTAATTAACATTAAAATCTTATTAAATATTGTTTTCTTTAATGCAAGTTATTCTTTCATCTTTTCCTGTAATGCATCACCTATTAAATTTTTGATATGGAAAATTAGTGCTTCAGGTCTTAAGAGAGTGACAAGAATAATGTTTGAGGTATAATTTTAGGATTAATAATGCAGATTCACCCTTCCTAGTGGAACAGAAATGTGGACACCTCATGAAAATTCCATGCTGTAAGTTAAGTTTGGTCTTAACTCCAAACAATCAGTGATATTGATGCCTTCTTACACTTTGATTTACAATATATAGAAAGCTTCGTTATACCTCTTTTTTGTCCCAGTACCTCTGGGACAAAAGATGCTTTCTCTTCTCCTGTCTGTATGCCCTGCTCTTGTTAGTCTAGCTTAAATGCTTCCTGCCACTGAAAGAGATTGCTTTGTTGGTGTCTTAGTTCTGGCCAGGATGGAGTAAATTTTTTTAACGGTAGCTGGGTGTGGTGGTCCCCACCTCTAGTCCCAGCTGACAAGCAGGCTGAGCCCACTGGATCATTTGAGCCCAGGATTCTAATTTCCTTTTACAATTTTTCCTAGGCTGCAGTATGCTGTGACGTGCGGCACATCCAAGACTGTAATGTTATTCTGTACCATCCTATGCCATTGCCAGTGGTGGGGAAAAGGGACTCTGGCTTCTTGGAAGGCAGGCATTCCTTTTCTGATCAGGAGAAAGCACAATGGGGTGGGATGTTTGTTATTTGTGAGTTTTATATGTAAATCTGTGACTGAAGTGTTTTGTTATTAATATTGTAGTTGTTACTGTTCATTTTCTTATCTCATGGCTGTTTCCAGTAAATAAATTGTTCTTATCTTGACTTGTGACACTTTTTTGTACCTCCAGTTCTCAACTCCATCCCCAGAGCAGAAAGGGGAAGGAGAGTGGGGGAGTCCAAGAGAATGGTATCTGGTTTGGGGCAGTCTCAGGGGAAGCGGGGTAAGGGAGAGGCACTAAACTGGGGAGTGTCATTCCTAAATCATGACATGACAAAATGTGAGTTGGCCTTTTCAGTTTCGCTGGGTTTTGTGAGTAGCAAATCCATGAGAACTGGATGAGTTAGCATAACATGTCTGCAGTGGCTATCCTTTGTGAGCTGGCTCTCATACTGTGGCCCATAGCTCAGGATCTTTGAGCCCTATATGGACTTATTTGGGAACACTGTGTGGTGGATTATCAGAGTGGTCTTCCTTCTTAAAAGACTAGTAATTCTAAAATGAATTTGATCTCTCTGGTGATGGTAGGCACCTGTTCACTAAATTGTCATGTACAATGTAGGCATTTTCTTGAGGAATTTCCTTCAAGTTGGAAACTGATTTTTTTTTATAAAGCTAATAACTTAATACCTTTTTCCTCCATACTGGTCATTTTGCCCAGTATAAGTTATGTAGTAATCCTATCTTTTAGTGCACAAATACCTCTTCTTGATTTCTCTCTTCTCCTTTTGATATCACATGCAGATTTCCCCCCCTCCTTACTGCAGTTCTTTTTTTCCTATTTCCCCTTTTCTCCAGCCCTTTCTCTGGGAATAGAAAGGACAGAGGGGAATGATTACCTTCTGCTCACTTTCAAAATTCAGAGCACTGTAGAAGACTTTATGGCAATCTGTTCTTCAGCTGAAAACAGCTGGTATAAACTCACTCCAGAAATAGTGGTAGTTTAAAGATTGCTCACACTTAGTGCTGAAGATTTTGAAATGCACTAGAATTTTTCAGGAAATCTTTATTGAACAAAGTAAAACTAACAAAACTTGAATATTGTTCAATAATGTTTGTCTAGAAAGACTGAATGTCATTCTCAAGATGGTGCAACTGCAAGACTGTAAAAGAAAGGAAGTTTTCTCACTGTTGCAGCAAAAACTTTTTCTGTATTCATGTGGGGCCTTGCAACTTAAATCCTACTTTTTTATGTCAAAACCAGTTATCTTAATCTCCCCTGACAAAGCTTTTCCATGAAATGTGTTTTCTATTCATATGCCTTCCCTCTTAGTATGCCACACACTTCTCACACCCACAGCTTCATGAAGACCGTACATCGTGCTGTAATCCCTTGAAAGAGATTTTGATTTGGCTGCAATATTTCTGGTCATGTTGGATGCTTGGCTGCTATAAAATCAGGTCTGGACCACTCTGTGATTTTGCTTTGCTGAAAATTTGCACAAGAAGTTTTATTCTTCCTTTCCTATGTTAAAAACAATAAATAGCATTTCTGTAAAGGGAATTACAAAGAATAATATTAAGGAGTTAGCAGGGTGATAGTTACCTGCATGTCCACTGGCTGTGACCACTATGTTTTTTTGTCATGGAAGGACAACTCTCCCGTACCTGTTGCTCACACATATGACAAAAGCAAATTGCTAGCTCCAGAAACTTTGTGGGAAGGCAGATTGGGTCTTTTAGCCTTTGTTCATGTGGCTGTAGATACAACAGGGATAGGATGAATTCAGTCATAATTAATGTGTGACTTTGCCGGAGCTCTCTTCTCCCCTCTGCTTTCCCTTGCCCCAGATAGCTGTGGGGAGAAGAGGAGCGGGCAGATCTCCAGCGCTTCCCGCTGAACCCTCACGGGCTTTGGGCTGCGCTGTGTGGGTTTGGAGAGCAGTCAGCGAACCCCACAGCGGTTTAATGAAGAGAGTCTTTCTCCGGGGGGCGAATTCCATTTTATTGCAATCCAACGAGGAAAACAATAATCCGAAGGGAACCAGGCGAGCCGCGCCGGTGTTCGTCGGAGCCGCGTGGACAAGCGGGGCAGGGCGCTGGAGCCGGCCAGGAGAGAAGCCCCGGGGGCGGCTTGGGCGGGCGGCAGCACGCGCTGGTGCCAGCCAGGAGAAAGCCCCGAGCGCGCTGCGTGTGTGGAATAAGTACGGGACAGGGGGAAACTGGGGCAGCCAATGGGGTAACGCCACGGGGGGTTTGGGGGTAGTGGGGTACGGGGGTACATCCAATGAAGGACGGACAGGTGGAGGGTCCCAGGTCATCTGCCTATCGCCCGGCATCCTGGGTGGAAGATTCCAGGTGGGGGGAAGGGATACTGAGTGACAGACAGGCATTTGGGGGTAAACACAGTGACTTGGCATTTCTTGGGGACAACAGACCCGCGGGGAGAGATGGGAAGACCCGGGGGGAACCGTTACAGAACCGAGGGTACATGGAACAAACTTATACATAATACAAATGTAATAAAACATAAAAACCACAACTCTACATGACTTAGTGTTTTTTCTGTGGATTTTAGCCACCCAATCTTAATACTGCTTTGAGCCTTACAATGTCATAAGTACAGCTGGTTATTAATTACTCAGTAGCCATTTTTTATTCCGTATAGCCAATATTAATTGGTTCAAATTCATAATATACATGGATGATTATTCATTGTGGCAACACCTTTGCTTGAAACCTTGCTTTTGAAATCTTTCAAAATACTTCAGAAATTTAGGAACCATGGATGATACTGATCTTCCAAAGAGTAGGCTAAATTCTTATCTGTCACTAAATCTTTTGAAGCAAGATGGTTTTAACAGAGGTGTAATTGTTCAACTTTAAAATTTGGGCACTAAAGGCACAGGACTTAAACAAACTAGTGATATACTTCAGCCATATTTTTTGTCTGACTGTGGTAAGAATCTGTAAGTCCAAGAACTCCTATAATGAATGTGTATGACAATGATGAAGTGCTTTAGAAAAAGAGACAGTGGTTGGCAAGGACGTCTGGGCTGAAGCAGTAACAAGTATATTCCTACAAAAGCAGTTCCTGGCTCCCAGCCCAGAAGTTCAACAGGATTCAGGCTTAGCCTTGGACTGATAACTGTGCTATGCATTTGCTTATTTCCCTTACTGGTCAAGGTACATATTTGATTTACTGCAGTCACTCAGGGAGAAAGACAGCAATAAAGGGTGTGAGTTTAGGAACCTTCTCAAATATATACTGTTTCTTCTAGGAAATAAGATTATGGAATTTTGCTGCTTTTCTGACCCTGGAAAGAGGTGGACCCTTTCAGTCAGTTTTGCAAACCTTTGCTAAAACAGGGATGGGAATCTTTAGTTTCTTACCTAAAGTGTAAGTTTTGTAGCAGACTGGAGGTGTAATTTGGTATTGAGGATAGAAAGTGATAGCCTGGGTAGCAAATATACAACTTGTAGGAAAACAGACTTTACTCTAGGAACACTAGACTTTGTCTAGTGTTCATGAAATAACATGCTGATTTCTATTAAATGTGACAGTTTATGAATATTCATAGCTGCTTAAATTACCTCAAGGAAGAAAAATATTTTAAGGGATACATATTACTTTTGCATTTCAATACTATCTTGTTAAAATTACTGATATTTATTTTACTCAACATTGCCTATGAGTTGTGCTCTAAACCTTAATTAAGGTTATTCAAGTTGGCTCATATTCAGCCATACTTCAAAGATAGCCTATGCTACAGATTACAGTTCATCTTGCATTTTTAATTTGTTTAATTTTTTCTATTCTTCTGCTAGAAAATATGCATCTCATAGATAGATACTTTACTTTTTAGCAGTGAAGTTCATGAAATAGTAACTCTCTTTCACTGTCTCACTTGTTTCTCTTAATCAATCAAAGTTCTTGTGTCTCTCTGTAATTTCCTAGTTGGTAGTAAACCTTGACAGGATAAAGGATATATTTTTGTTATATATCACCTAATGTAGAGGGGAAATAAGGGAAGACTTGCTATTTGGAAGTCCTCCTGATTACTCTCAGTAATTGAAATTAATTGCTGTCAGACTTTAGGAGTAATAAGCAGTACATCTGTCTCTTTACCCTTTTCTTCCTGACTCTGTGAACTTCTCAGATGAACTTTTTTGCAGGATTGCTTTTTTATTAAATTTGCTCTTTTTTTTGTTTCTCCTAATAGTTCAGTTCTTTCTGAGAGCATGTATGCCTTTTTAGTTGCTTAGGCTATACTTAAAATTTACTTTTTAAAATTATGTTTATTGTGCTTTAAAGTAGCTTATGAGTACCCACTATTTTGAGGCAAAATTCAGGTTGGACCCTGGAAAAGGCATCCAAGGATCATGAAAACTGTTGCTGTCCACAGACAATGTCAGCCTGGTGAGAGAAAATAGTACATTTAGGACAAGGAATAAATCCTCAAAATACATTTTTTAAAAATAAATATATCATTTTATAGTCAGACATTGGATGCTGTTTCCAGAAGTAAAGTGAACTAGCTTTCTGCAGGTATGGTTATCAGAAACTGGGGTTTTTACAAAAACAAATAAAATACATGAAGATTAATTTTTTCCCCTACTATTCACCAGAAGAACATGCCAGATAAATGAGAAAGAGTGTTATGTGTGTAGAAATTAGACTTTAGCTTATAGTAGAAGAAGGGTTCACTTTAAAGAAGTTCAATAAAACTGGAACTGGAGAACGTCTCGGTGCCACTCTTGTAGAGTTTAGGATTCCAGACCACTGGGACAAAAGATCACATAAGTGCAAATACTTTATGAGCAAACATCATCTGTGCCACACTTAGATATCTGCAGAAGAAGAAATACAAATTTTTATGTAAAGTCATATGAAGTAACTGTGATAAAAGACCTACTAAAACTTGCAAGCTTGAAAAGAAAAGAAAGATTTTCTCACTTAAGAAGCTTATATTGCAAAGAATAAGATTTTTTTTATATGAATGTTATGCAACTGCACTTACAATAGGAAACCAACCCTCTGAATAAACAAGAAAGCATAAGTTTTTGTAAAGTTTTGAGTAGCACCAGATGTAAAAAAAATGAATAATACCACAACATTCTGCAATCCCCAAAATGCTAAATGGTGGATAAACTGTTGAATATGAATGAGTAATCTAGGTTAGACAAGATAAGGCAAAAGATGACTCAGTCAAAGCCAAATTAAAGTTTTGTTAACAAGAAAACAATGTCATTGGATGCTGTGAACTGCAATGAAATTCTAAGGAAAAATGAACTGAAAATTCACATTGTAGAAGCTTTCACATACGACTTTCACATCCACTGTTTCATTGGCTCTCTTTAACGACCTTAGGACCCCAAGATGTTTCATAAGGCAGTGTTGTTGCTTAGATTTTATTTAAAAAGGGGTTTATCTGAGACATCAATCAAACTTAAGATATTTTCTGTCTTTGAATAGAAAGCACTATGAAACATCATCTCTTTCTTGTCTCTGACCTGACACAGAACCAGCAATATTTATCTACCCTTGGTTGAAAGGCTAGTGATGTAGAATCTGTGGCCTTGCTTTGTAGCCTAATTTACTACTTGATTATTCCTGTAGTTAGAGGTTTTTTTAATACTCTTTTTAATACTTTTAATATTTTTGGGCTGTGAATATTTCTATTTGACGTGGTCACAGTGAGCAGAGGGGATCTTGACTCTTTTTTCCTTAGTATGGGAAGAAAGATTTTAACTTACTGAGTGACTGGAATACTGTTTCCATGCACTTTTTGCAGGTCTCTTTCACCCCCTTCTCTTTCTCTCTCCAGAGAGAAAATATCTTTGTCTTTCCTAACAATGCATATCACCAAATTTCCAAATCCAAAGTTATTTCCACTGTAGTCTTTTGCATCTCTCTTATGTTTTGTTTCCTCAGGACTTGACTCTGGGGTGAATTCAACCAAAGCTTCACAAGTGCCTAGCACAGCAAGCAAATGTGTTATATGTACCATATATATTAAGATAGTGAAAGAGCCTGTTAATATGTGAAGCACTACTGCTTCACTATTTCTCATTTTGTATTTGTGCATTTAACTGTTTCTTCCCAGATCTAAACATGTATCCTTTTTTATTATGTATTTTCTCGTTAGGATCGTGTGGGAGCATTGAGAGGAAGGAGAGCTACATTTAAATGGGAGAATTACTGTGGAAACCTGGCAAATCCCCCTCGACACCAATGAAGAAGTCATCAAGAAGAGTCAGATTCTTCACAGAGGTGGGAGGATGACAGACTATGGATATGAATGGAAATAAAAACAGTTGAGCTTGAATATAAGAGAAAACTTTTTCAAAGTGAGGACAGTGCAACAGATTGCCTTTGGTATGTTGCAACTGCAGTTTCTGCTGTCTCCATACTTGTTTTTGGCCAGTCAGGTCTTGAAAATGTTTTTGAGAAACTTCATCTGATCCTTTGTGCAGAAAATTAGATTAAAGGTTTCTTGCGGTCCCTTTCAATTTAAGTTTTCCTATAATTATTTCTGTGGTTTTCAAAGGTTCTGACTTGATATCTGAGATGCTAACAATACTTTTCAGCAAGGGACTGGACTAAATACTTTAAATATAATTTTATTTCATGTTAAATCATTATTGAAAATACTGACTAGTACTGGATTCACTGCAGATCCATCCAAATCCCATCCTGAGACTGAAAATTCTGACATAGGACGTGAGCATGTTTTAAAATCTGGTATTCATGCACTGACATTTCCTGTGAATTGTATTTTCCTGATGTGAGAATATCATGCAGGTATGTGAAAAAGTTTAGGTAGATAACATAAATGTCATATCTATGTCTTTCTCCTTATCATCTAGGCCAGTAATCCTACTAAATATACCAAACAAAACTGGCATAATATAATTTATCACTTTTCTATTATTGCTTTTTATTAGCCTATTGTCTTCTTGGTCATAGTAATTAATAATTTAAGTATCTCTTGCTGGAATTTTCCTAAGCACTGGCAAAAATTCAATTAATACATATTAAAATGTTATTTTAGACAGACACTGGTGCAGCTTTGGTTTTCTCGATTTCTGAGAGACACTTTTGTCCTCTGAATTGTTAAGGATGGCTTCCACCAGTTCCTGAAATTCTTTAGGGGGAAGCTTTTTCAGGTCCAGCTATATTGAAAGTATCTATCTTGCCTTAATACTTTAAAGATGTCCTTTCCTTACTTTGGTCCATGTTCATCTCTCCTTTCTTATCTATTTTGTCAAAAAAAAAAAAAAAAAAAGAAATGTCAGTATTTCAGTCTTGTCTGTGTCATACATTATTGTTGTTCCAAAGATACAGTGTGCATATTTTTTTCTGGTTTTTCTCTTCAGTAAAAGTAGAGAATGTTTCTGATTCAATCACTGAAATTCTCCTTGAAACCTTTTCTATTCCTTGCCAGCTGTAATTCATTTTGTGTATTCCTCTTTTGATTTTATTTTTCTGGGCTGTGTTACTCCCTCATTCATTCTTGGTTATATGTTCTTGTTTCCACTTTTTGTGTGATTCCCCTCTAATTTTCATGCTATTTAAGAGTTATGAGTGACACACAAGACAGGTACTGAAAACAATTGGAAAAAATCTACAAAATAAAGATTTACAAGTACTCATGTGCATCATCCTCCCTCAATGGTCTGGCAACTAGGTTAAACCCCATCTGTCTTTCAAGGCTGCTGGAAATATCAAGAGGATTTGAGTGTGTATTGTGGCACATATAGAGGTGGTTGGGTCATAATGCCTAGGTCACCAAGAACTCCTTTTTTCCACCCCAAAGGATATCCATGACCAACCTGGAATCAAAGTCTGTCTCTGGAAACCCAGAGGGGCCATATACCAGTCAAACTTGACTAAGTCTTTCAGAGATCATAGAATTAATTGCAGTAACAGCTAAATTAATTTGCACTTTCCATTTGATTTAATTGCAGTTAAATTAAATGCAGTCCAAATGGAAAAAGGAAACAATGAAAATACAAGCCATTCCCAACAGACCTCGAGAAAAAAAAAAAGGAAATAACCATTCCACTGCAAATTATACAAACAGCCTGATTATTACAGAGCTCTCTGTAGACTTCTGGGAACTGACTGACTTCTTGGAAGAGTTATGGATAAAAAAATAAAATATTTGGGCAAAAATAGAGTGCCAAACAGTATCATTTGAGAGAATGAAATTCAGTATATTCATAGCTGGTCTGTACAATTTATTGTAAAATAGAAATTGAGCCATGCCTTACTGCCATAAAACAACAACCACTCACCACTGTTAAACTGAGTTAAAACTGTTAAGGATTTGTAAAAGAAAATTGTCAAAAATCAAACCATTATATATATGTATATATATATATGGCAAATCATTTTGGAAATGAAAAGAAATGCTACCGAAGGCCTGTTTCATCTGCAATTTAGCAGAGTGCAGGATGCCACATTTTTCTGGTGTGCCAGGCTTGGAAAGGATGGTGGAAAGAGTTACAAGCAAAAAAGTACTAAAGAAGCAACTTGCTGCTTCTAAAAGACTTGCATGAACTACAGCTGGTCGGGTTGAAAGTGGTTCTTTGGGACAAGTCAGATATTAATTGGGAGTTGGTATCTATTTAATATATAGGCAACAATTCATATTAACATATTAACATATTTAAGTAAACATTAACATTTTTAAGTAAACAATAAATAATTGTTTTCTTAAAGGACAGCTATATTGGATCATCAGGAATGCAGCAGGAATGTAGTTTTTAAGACAATGAAACCTATACCCCACTGTGACTTAACAAGCAAGAAGCAGAAGGAATAGGCCAACAAGTTTCTTTAGACATCCATACAGATTTGCAAAACACCATAGAACTAGAATAACATGGGAGATAGAAAAAGTATCCCGCCATCACATGAAAACCATTTGCTCCAATGCAAAACTGTTTAAACTATTCAACAAATTGCAAGGTCAGTTGGCTTTATCTTGTGTTACTCAGACACTTGAGGAGTGATAGGGATGTAGACTACTGAAGAAGGAAAATTATTAGAGTGCATTTAATTTTATTTCTTCAGCGTAATCTATATCAGTATACCATCTTATGGATCTATACATCTAAAAAGGCTTGAAAAGCATAATTTTAAAGATTCTGTGGTCCTATCTAACATGTGAAGGACCAGTAACTTCAAATTACAGAGAAAAAAGTAAAGCTTTCTTTCTGTACCCTGGCAGCCCGAGACTGTAAAAAAATCACTCTTCACAAGAATGATATAAATTTTAAATCTGTGTAACAAAATGATAAATATATAAGTAGGACATGGTATTCCTATTAAATTATACTGTCTTGAAGAATTGTGACAAAAGTCATGTTCTGGTGGATAGACCCTCAGTAGGGGTGTTGTAGTGTGGTCACATCTTTATATACAAGATGATGTCTAGAAAGTGCTTAGTAAGAGGGCACAGTCAGTGGAGGAAGGAATAAATCCTGAGCATTGCAGTGGGTTGCCTGTCACTCTTGGTTATGTGTGAATGCTGAACACTGCCTGTGCCATGCTTTAGGTGCTTTGCCAGTTTTGAAGCATGAGCAGAGACTCTCTTTTTTGGATGCAGGTGCATCCACATGCAATAGGAAGCTTTTCTCCCTATCTCAGGCTTAACATCACTGCTGCCTCATTCCAGTGGGGCTCACACTTGAGATCCACACGCAGGCCTGGTTATTATCATGCTCCCTGGACTCCACCATGGTGCTAGTGCTGGTGCATACAAGCTCGGTTTTCAGTCTGGCTGTGTGCAGCTGGATATTAGTATTGTGTAAACCAGCCAGCATTGTGTAAACCCCACCCATTTGCTGAAGTCATCCAAGATAATTATACTTTTAAATCCACCATGCTGTTGCCAAATCATGCACTCACGAAAGGCAGATGCTGTGAATTTTCCATGGAGTTCTGCAGCAAATCCACTATGTGAAGGGGAGCGAGGTGCATTGTAAAACTTCCCCCTTGTCTTTTATAATGCAGGAAGGGTTTAATTAGACATAAATGAGTTTGATCAATGAATCATTAACTTCCATTAAACTTTAAGTAGATTGCCTGACCCGGCTACTTCATTCTGAATTTAATCTGGTATACACTTGATAATTAGAGTTAAAGGGACAAGGGCTGGAGGCAATCCTTCTCAATCCTTCACATAAAATGGAGTTGAGTCAGCTAATAAGTTAATTTTATAGTCAGTGTGTAAGGACAGAATTGGCCGTAAAATGTAATTTTCCTAGAAAAACGGATCAGGAAGCAGACTGTCACTTTGTTTTGCTTTCAGAATTACCTCAGGAATTACCTGCCCGGGGTCTTCAAAGCCTTCACAAATCCCATCCTCTTCAGTACAGCAGCTGGGAGGATTAGATTTCATGAATACAGTCAGAAACCAGGTGGCAAGGCAGGAAATCTCATGTCTTTGCAAGAATGCTGGTGTAGCTCTCCCTGTGGTTGAAAAAATTTGATCTGCCTTGTCTAGATCCATGGGCTGGAGAAGGAGTGATAGAATGGAGCTTTCTGGCAGCTTCCAACCTTAGGAAAGGTAGAGCCTTTGATCTGCTGGCTTTGCCAGTGCCTGATCCAGAACAGCAATTGGCATTTCTTGTGTGTGCCTGCTGCTTGTTTTACTGTTTGGAAAGAGCAGGCTTGCTGGTTGGGGCGGCTCTGTCTGGCCCTATGCTGTGCAGTAGGGATGGATTCTTGGGAGGTATCAAGTTCATATATGAAATGTTTCAATTATCAAACTGACTTAAGGAACCAGATGTTTGCTACTTGTCTTTCTTCTACAGAAGTATGTTCTTCTGTCCTTCCTCTGAGCTATGATACTCTGCTTTCTGGGTTCAGATTAGGTTATTCTGAGGGATACTGGATGATACTCTGCTTTCTGGGTTCAGATTAGGTTATTCTGAGGGATACTGGATGATTCAAAGTGGACTCCCTTTTCCTGGTTTAGTATTTGCTTTATTCCATCTGAAATATGCGTACTGGAAGGCAGAACATATGAATCTGTTTTGAGTTGGATGCTCTGGAAACAAAAGTTAATTGTGCTGACACTGTGGTATCAAAGACTGTTTTAGAGGGCAGTTCTGCTGGTGGTATCTGTGGCAACTCACAAAAAATCTTATTTAATGGAATGAGAATATTGCCCAAAGATGTACACAAACCCATTTGAGGAAAGAATACTTTGAAACCCAGAGCTATTCAGCCTGATGTGAACACCATGACCAGTGCTAAAGAGTGATAAAGAAGAGGGCTGGCACACCACCATTCCCTCTGGCCTTTGTATTTATTGGTAAGAATATTACCAATACGGTAGACCACTGAGGTCAGCAAAGACTTAAGAATGAGATTTCTTTTAGAGTGTAGTTATGAGATTGCTCCTGAGAAATGTAGAATTGCTAGGACACAAGCTCCTTTGTGTACAACTAAAAGTGGGTGTTTTCTTACCTGTAAAGGACTGCAGGTGCAACTAAAAGTGGTGATGCAGAGCTTCTAAATTTTTGAGTTAGACTCTTAAAATAGCAGGCAGGTTTCAAAAGGATTCTAAATATCTGGTCTATGCTTTTCTCATTCCTTCAGTCTCAGCCTCGAAATAGTGTTTCTGAATGCCCTGTGAGTGCCACAGCCTGAGGTCGCTGAGAGCCTTGCTCTGGGACTCTAATGACCTGTGAAATGACAGACAGTCCTGGGGCTGTGTTTTTGTGGCAAGCCTTCTCTGCTGCTCTGAGATACAAGGGCAAAAGTAGCAGCTGATTAGCTACCTATTTAAGGAGGCTTGTCCATTCTCTGCAGTCATGCTGAGGGAGCCTGAATTAAGGGTTGCTGATTTAAGGTCATGCAGACAACCTTAGTACTGCCATTTTGAGAATTTTGAATGCTGGACTATTTGAACTTAGTGGCATTTATTTTATGTGGATGTGATTTTGTATATTTAGGTCGGACAATTGTTAGCAATTTTCTTTTGCTCTAAAATCCACTGATCTATTCTTTTTAACAGCACTGCCAGTATGCAGGGATGAATTCTCCTAGAGCTGATGAAGACTTCTAAAAAATGTCCCGTCCCAGTGTCTTAATGATGTTGTTGTTGATAAATACTTGCTGGTATGCCATTATTTATCTTCCAAATTCTCCACAGGCAGGCTCCTATTATAAATGACAATAGCTGCTGGGGTTTAGTAGGAGAGCTGAGTGCCCTGTTCCCACAGTGCCTGGCTCACCTTCAGCCCAAGTCAACACTGACCAGCATTAATTGCTGCTGACTGTTTTATGTTGTTTGTATAGTGTGTGGTGTTTGGTTCCAGGCTTCTGTAAAATAAAATTGCCAGTGCAGCCTTTTATCAATATATGGTTTTCCATCAAAAAGGCACCTAATCTTTGCTGCAGTAAATGGTGACTTCTGGTGATTTGGTTTTTTTGGATTTCCTTGAGAGATGTTTCCAGAGGGATATTTGATGCTCACTTTGAAGAATGTCATAGGGAGCATCCACTGATGGTGACCATTTTGTGCTATACTGAGCTAGAAAAATGGAAGCTTAATTCCCATCAGTGAAGAATTGCTCTTACCAGTGCTCACAGCATTATTCATATGAGTTGCTGTTTGCCACTGGCAGTAAGGGATTTACAGCCTGGCTTTCTGGGAATTGAGAAACTTATTCTCTCTAGGGTGCTTCATCCTGAACCTTTTTACAAGCATTTAAAAGTCAATTCAAGTGATAAAATCTGTTATTTATTTTGAAGAAAACATGTTTTAAGGCATTAAAACTGCTTCATTATTTGAAAATACATTTAAAATACATGCTTGCTTTCCACAGAACTCAAAAGATAAATTTCAAGCAACAAAAGCCTTCCTAGCAGGTGGTGGATAAACATTTTATGTTTCCAGTAGAAGATGGGCTTTTCTCGCTGCTGTAAGCAGTCTGAGCAGAGAGTTGTTTACAAAAAAGATGCAGAAGCCTTTGCTACCAGCCAAGCCTGACAATCAGCTACATCTGTCAGAATATGACTAAGGAATTTCATAGGTCTGTCAGTAAAACTAAACTTTTCTTAACTATATTTAACTTTACCATTTTTCATCCTATCATATCTAAAATACAAGCTTTGTCTTGTATAACTCCTCCTGTTGAGTTCATGGCTTTTTTTTTTTTTCCCTAAGCCTGCATAGAGAAGTTTTCCCAAGTGATTTTCTCAAAATAGTCTCTGCCAGAGTAATGCAAACCCACCCTCACCTGAAGCCGCTACCACATGGATCTCCATGGCAGTGGTATGCATCTGTTCTAGAGCTGTGCAGCTCAGGGAGTG